AAAAAGAACAAAGCATCCAAACAAAAAAAAAATTTCAAGCTTACTTGCAATATTAATTAGGTGATTGCAATATTCAACTCAAGCTTTTCAATATAATTTGAAGCACACTTCTCCAACAGTATCCACCTATGTACAAAGTAATAAAAATAAAGTTATATACATATATGTTTAAATAGTATCTAAAGCTTTCTAAAATTCAATGTAAAGATTAAACATTGAAAATACTTAATTAGCTATTACATTCCAATCAAATTGCTCTCTTAGACATTTTCACAATACCTTATGTGCATTAAGGTTTAAACAAGTTTAGCAAGCTTTTTAATCATCAAAATGTAACCCAATCAATTTTGAATAATTCCTAAGTGCAATTCTTCCCAACAATCAATTTAAATAGAAAACATACACACATACAAACAATTGGATAATTCCTTTCAACACCTAAAAACTCACATAATATAAAAGACATACATGCCCATGCCACTTACATCGTGTTGTGAACAAGCTTAAGGTGGACGCGATTGAATGGCGACTTTTGTGGAAGAAAACGTTGCTCCTAGTCGTGGGATGACATGGATGAAGAATGGGGAAGAAAGGGAAAAAAAAAAAGGAGAATGGGGAAGAGAGAGAGAGAGAAGAAGAAGAAGACGATGAGCTGCTAGCTAGAGAGGGAAAAGACAAAGTTAATCATTGGCATCGACATTGGAAAGGAGAAGTAGAAATCCAAAGAAGGGAGAGAAAGAGCTCGCCAGAGAGCTTTGGGGTATGCTCACTTCTACATTTTTGTTTAGGTTATTGAGATTATAAATAGAGACTGACTATCAATCTCTTTCTCTCACGTAATATTTTCAAGAAGAAAGAAGGAGAAAGGAGAAGGTGTATTTCTAGAGCATGTTCAAGGCAAAGATAAAATTTGAATAAAAAAAGACGCTTTTTGTCTATTTTTAAGAGAAACAAATGAGTATGGGAGCTCATACTCGTCTCTTCATCATAACAAACAAGTATGAGATTCCATACTCGTCTATTTCCTTTTAACAGACGAGTTTAAAGGCCTATATTCTTTTGTTTTTCAAAACAGACAAAAATGACCTTATTTGTAGTAGTGAAAAAAGAAAAAAGAAAAAAAAAGAAGAAGTTCTCAGGCTCTCTTTTCCTAAACCATCCACAACTAAGTTGTATTCTTTATGAGTGGAGTTTGTACCTGCCAGTTCATAAAGAAAAATCTTTTGATTTTCAAAAAAGTGGACAATAACATTACATCTGTTCTCATCCACATTGCTTTTCTCTTTTTACGAAGCGCAAGTATTATCCTATTAGAAGCAATCATCTTTATAACACCTTGATTTTACATTATATATAGAGCCAAAACAAGTCAATAGAATCACATTACATGGCATTAGGCTTAGAAAAACCTTGCTTTGAAGAATTCATTCTCAGGTTATTATTCATTTGGTAACCCTAAAATTTTTGCTAACTTTAAAAATTCATAACTAATTCTAGAAAAATCAAAATGAGGTAATTCCAAGTTTTATTTGAAGCTCTTACATTTTTCTACATAGGAAAAGTAGTCACTATTTCATTACTCATTCCATTCAGTCTCCATTTTCCTTACAAAAATCACTATTTATTTGGTCAAATTTTAATTTTTTAGCTTTTTACCATAGATTCAAAAATTCATAACTTTTCATATACAACTCCATACATATACAACTCCAAATTAACTGATCTACCACTCCATTTAAAGCTTAAGATGTGAACTTTATGTTCACCAAATTTTATGGTCATTTTCCTGGAAAAGTCACGAGCTAACTAGGATTTTTAAGGCATATAAATCTTTTTTAATTGCCGTATCTTAAGAAATTAAATATTTAACTTCCATATTCACCCATAACCATTCAAACCAGCAAGCATTAGCCACTATAACACCTCCTAAGAATTGGGAGCATAATCCATACAAGCATTTATCATAACATTACACAAATCCATAACTCTTATAAGTACATAACATGTGAAATGCATAATATTTCATAACAATCTCCTCAAGCATCCATATTCTTTCCCTTGTCCCTTGATGAACCAACCCCTATTAGTCAATTTCATAAGAAGGAAGTGAAATTTCAAAGAAATCTCAATAGCAAAAACAACAATCATAGTATTAAAATGCAAGGTTAGTTCATGCTATATGCAAGCATTAAACTCATGCATTTACATACATTATCATGCCATTACTATGCTATGGAAAGGGAGCACATAACATACAATTCAACAACCCAACAACACATATTTGCCAAGGTATCAATGTAAGGAGTTAAACACATTTCATTATCCATAACTCAACCATATTATGGCATAACACACATAGCAAAACAACCCATGCAATTCAACACTAAAGTTGTAAGTTCTTGTTACCTCTTAATAAGCTTGATTCCTTGATTCCTTGTCTTTGTTCTTGGGCCTTCTCTTACTCAATGCCAATGCTTATCAAACAAACAATAATGGCATTCCAATCAACTAAAACAATTCCATTAAACACTTAACATAAAACCCTAACCCTTTAGCTTTTATTTTAGGATTTTAGCATCATCTTCTTTAACTTAACTCCCACATACTTTTTTTATATAATTTTTCATGTAGAATCCGTATATGAACTCAGATTTATCAAAATCCAGCTCCATTCCCCATTTCGAGCTTTGGCCAAGAGGTATGCATCAGGGCTCACAAATTTTATTTTTAATTTTGATGCTTTCAAACGTATGTTCTCTGTATATCCTTGCACAATTTCACCTCCTAAACTCATTAGAAGTATCAAGTTAACAAAAATAAAACCCTAGCTTAAAGAACCAGGTTTGGCCAAATTGCACCCTTAGGTTTCACAAGTTGGAATCTTTTAAAAAATAAAGTTTAAACACTCCATCATCCAACCATTTTCAATCCTCTAATTTATATGTAGCCTTTAAATCATTCGTATCTCATTTTGCATCAATTGGACAGCACCAAACCCTAAGGCTTCTAACCTTTAACTTCCATTAAAAAAATGTTTAAAGCTAACAATTCATAAAGCATCATGAACTAGAAGGAAAGTCATGTTCTTGCCTTGATTTAGGACTTAATTTCACCAAGGTTTGACTTGATCTTCTCCTCATCCTTCTTCTTCCTCACTTAACCGAAATTCTCTACTCTCCCTTTCTCTTGAATGTTGGCTAAATATTTTTGCTATGTGGGAGGGAGTAGGATATTTATAGAGTAGTTCAAATTTACCTTATGGTAATTCCTTAAGTGACCATTTACTTGTAACCATACACACTTGTCTTCATCTTAACTTAATCCCTTTATGATCTTGCCACATAAACCTGTTAGCTATCCTCTTCTTTCAATGTCAATGGCACATCACGAAACACATAATCCTACATGTGTGAAAATAGTAATTTTTTATTAAATAATTTTATTCTTCCAAGCTTAACCCTTAACAAAATGTATTATTCTATCCATATCCTCTCCTCCATTTTTGGCGCCATTTTATATAGAAAAATGGGAAAAAAATTTTTTGTCCCACCAACCTTTAGGTTATTTCACTAAATAATTTCATAATATAAGTTGAATTTTTTAAAGATCCTATCTAATCCAGTACTTTTAAACATTCATTTCTCTACGCCTATAACTTTCTTTTATTGAGGAGAGATTCCCATATTTTTCTTTTATCGATATAATTTAATTCTAAATATTTTAAAGCTAACTTCTGCACTTATAGAAGTCAAGAATAATTTTAAAATTTATAATAACCTATCAAATAATCCTTCTAATTTTTTTGTGAATTATTGAGACTTCTAGGTATCTAAAATAATTCACTTTGGCCAAAATTTCCTTAATTAGCAAAAAATACAAATAATTACAAAAAGTTTTAAAATAAATTATTTTCATGTTGTTTTCATCTTTCAGGCCTCAAACACTATTTTAGACCCTTTATTCTATTTTTTTATGAATTTTTGTGAATTTTTAGAAATTTCGGGCATAATTTCCAGTTTTGCCATTCCTTGACCAGAACTTTTCAAAATGACAATTCAGTCCTTCTCCAAGTTTCACTTCAAAAGTGATTCTGCTTATGTTTTTACTACACTATCTGGTCCTCAGTCAATCCTAAATTTCCCATTTTTTATGTTATAATTAACAAGATATGGCAACGTTCCAAGTACTATAGGGCGCTAAATGTGAATATCCCTCATAATAGGGATTTGAACATTAGTTTGCCAAGTTATGAGGGACTATAGCTCCTTCTGAGAAGCCATTTTATTACTTGCTTTAACAATTGGGCCCACAAAATCCATATCATTCTGCAGCTCAAATGCTTTCAATGTTCTTCAATATAGCTTTCTGCACCTTTTTGCCGCCCACCTGGGTCATAGCATTAAGTGGGCTTAAAAATTAGGTTTGGGCTTACCTTGGACATCGGGCCTTAGGCCCAAATTCTCCTTATACTTACGATAAACTAGACCAACAACAATTGGGTTGAGTGGTAAGAGATTCAAAATTCTTCGAGCAACAATCCATTGATCCAAGCCTCTTTCTTTTTTTGGGGAGCGGGGGGGGGAGGGGATTAGAGAAGCAGGTATCAATTGTATGAAATGAATCATACTGTTCATGGGACTTATAAACCGTGTGACTCCCCATATTTTTTATATTTGAATATTAAATATTCTATGTTAAATCAGCTCACCCTATATACCGTTGTTCAAATTCAATACTCATTTTTGAAATGAGATTTAGAAGACCCAAATTTAAAAAATTTCTAATTCCCCCCGGGAAAAGATGACCGTTTTAGAAGTTTATCTTTATTTTAGTTTTTATATTTATTAAAATATAAAAATTTAAGGGGGAACTTAAATTAAATCTGAACCAACTGATTTAATTTCAAGATTTCATATTTCATCCTAGTAACAAGAAACTAAAAGATCTGTGATACATTACATCTGCTTTCATTGAGACCTATATTCTTGAATCAACCTACATTAATTAGTGAAATCCCTAAAGCCAAAGTCAACAAAGCTAGAAGCTTGAGGCGATTTGAAGTAAGCCACAAGACCCACAAAGGGAGCATTAAGGTAAGTAGCAGGCTCGGACTGACCAACATTATATCTCGAGTCTTCAAAAGTGTCATCTTCGGCTGGACCTCCGACAAGGGCGCCGATGAGGATGTTAGGGTTTGGTGCGTTGGATTTGAAGTATTGATCTCCATCGCGACAGGTGATGTGCTGTGGATGCTGGTCAAGCGAAGGCATGGTTGAAGCACGGTGATGAATCTTTTGTGGAAACTTGTTGCTGTATCCCACCATATATGACATCCCTAATGGGTTGTTTCCAAGAATATAATCAACCTGAAATCACAAAGATCAGTGTATTTGGGTGTAAAATTGCGTGTGACTTTTTTTAAAAATCCCTCAAAAAATTTGATTGAGATTTTATATCTAAAACGAAAAAAAACTCCTGTACATACTTGAGATTTGGCGAGGTTGATGAGTGTATTTGGATCAGCCGTAACACTTCCACAGTTGACTACTTTTTTAGCAGCTTGCATGTAACGTGCATAAACAATTAGGAGGAAAGATGTTGAAGTCACATGTTGAAGGTTGCTTGATCCAGGTTTGAACATAAGCCCACCTTAATTAATTGTCCATTTAACATTTAGCCATTTGTAAGTTCAATATGATGATATGATTCATAAAATTATTATAATAAAATGTTAAAATGTTGTTTTCTCCCATAACCTTAAGTTAAATTTGATAGCAGTCTCAATTATTAATTGCTAAGAAATATAAATGTTGATTAATTTTACAATAAATTGACACAACGTACGTTATGGCTTTTATTATGGCTAGAATTGAATGTCCTAATTAAAGTTTCTCAAAAACGATCAAGCAATAATGAAGAAAGAGCAAAGAGCCAAGAATTTTAAAGGAGAAATGAAATGATGAAGAAAAATTTAAGAATTTCAAATAATCTAAAAGCAATATATATATATATATATTTTGTGTGTAGGTGAAATTTTAATTTTAATATCATCAATATCAATATTAATTATATATAAAATCAATAAAAGATCATCCTACTATTTAATTAACAAGTGTGTGCGCATTACCTTTGGAGTAGGATACTGATTTGGTTGGAGAATTGGGCAATACAGAGCACACAAAAGCGTCTGCGTTTGGAATGAAGGGGCTGGCACTGGAAGGATCACCCATTACCCACTGCGAAATTAAAAACAATACCGTTTTAAAATTTTAATCATAAGCAAGTTTACTAATTATTTGAAGGAATTAATGGCCACAGATAATCAACATCAATAAATAATAAAATAATTAGTATTTTAGTCTACCATCATACAATATATTGGTCGATTCTATCTGTGCAGTAATAATTAGACAGGTATAATCTCAATCAATAAATTGTCATCAATTTTGGACTTTGAATTTTGGATGAATGACATAAAGAAGTTTACTAATTATTTGAAGGAATTAATGGCCACAGATAATCAACATCAATAAATAATAAAATAATTAGTATTTTAGTCTACCATCATACAATATATTGGTCGATTCTATCTATGCAGTAATAATTAGACAGGTATAATCTCAATCAATAAATTGTCATCAATTTTGGACTTTGAATTTTGGATGAATGACATAAAGAAGGATAAAATTACTAGAATATAATTTATGTAGTACAATTAGTTCTCTTTGATTTTCAATCCAATCCAATCCTATTGAATATATTTTGATCATCTCTATTTTCATCTATCCTTTGCATTAGTTGATTTAGAAGAAAGAAATCATCCATAAATCTCTTAGACGGGGAAAAAAATATATTATACACAGATAGGACTCTTGAGAATTTAATTCATTTAATATCATTAATAGGTCAATAGGTAGATTTAATATTTACAAGTTCGACTCGTAAGACTTTAAGTAACGCAACTTGACTTGTAAATATTAAATATCTTGAGAATCATTAATATTAAATGTCATTGAAGAGACCTATATTTATATTTAATTTTCTTATTTGAGATTTATGGACGATTTTCTCCCTTATCTTATTACCTAGACTTCAAAATGGCATATATAGTAGTGCAATGCTATAAAAAAAATTCTCTCTTCTTGCAACGTCATGAATTATTTATATCGTAATTAAATAATTGGGAAGTTAATATATACTTCTTCCGGTACTTAATATAAAAGTTAGTTGACTAATTTAAGTAAATTAAAAGGTTTGTTAAGTTGGTTATTTGTAATAAATATATATTATCTTTTCTAGAATACTCTTTGCATGTGTATTAGTTAAAACTATCATTTAATGAAACCTTTAACATGCGTAACTACTACAAAAACTATTTTGAAAAAAATAAATAAATATGAGAGACAAAATAGATTGGAGTCTTATATCTAAGATTAAATTAAAAGTCAAATTAACTATTAAATAGACCATAAATAATGAAAATGTACATTTATATATGCTACCTCTAGTCTTTAATATAAGAACTAGTTAATTAATTAAATTGAGTAGATTAAGAACATTGTTAAGTTAATTAGTTGTGATAAATAGGTGTTGTCTTCCATAAAATAATCATGTATATTAGCTAGAACTATCATTTCATAAAACTCCTAATGTGTGAAATTGTTACAAAGACGACCTTGCAAAAAATAGATAAATACATGAGATAAAGTAGATTAGGGTCTTATATTTAGAATCAAATTGAATGTCAAATTAGTTTTTATATTAAAAACCGAAGGTAGTAGAAGAAAAGTTTGTGGATAATGAACCTGAGAAACAAGAACATTAATTCCAGCAATCTTGCAGTCCCATCCAAATTCAGCAAAGCTTCCACCATTCAATAGAACTGCAACTCCTTTGATGTTCCGAATCACTGGCTGGCTTTCTATGCTTCCTATGTTTGATCTCACAAACTCCCAATATTTCCTCATTTTTGTTGCCTTGTACAACCATGCCGCTCCCCATATCAACTCATCCTGAATAATATATATTTATTATTATTAATAAATTGAATTTTTTATTGTTATTAATTTATTTATATACACACAATTAAAATAAATTTAATTATAGTTTTTTTTAGTGAGGACATGAAGTCTGGAGTTTTTCTTGAATGACATACCATGTAGCCATTGTAATCACAGTAGAAGGGGCATGCTGCTCCAACACTTGCGTTGTAAGATCCACGATTGTTATTTGCAAAGTCAAATACCTAAATTGAAGTTGAGATATTCAATTGATAGCAAAACTCAAAAACAGACATATCACTAATTTGGATCCCAAAATGATGAATCTGAGTCAGATGGATCATAATTAAAATATATAAAATATTCATATAATATTCAGAAAATAATAGTAGTAAATAAAAAAAGACGTTACTTCACAAATAATCGGGTCACTCATGTATAAATTAAACCACATATAATTCAGCAAAGCAAAACAGAGTTACTAAAATATAAAACAGAGTTACTAAAATATAAAATCTAATTGCATAGACTTATCCATAACTCTTAACAAGATACTAGCACACCAATTCGCTGGTCTGACCAACCGACTGAGGTTGGGTTTTAATATCATGGAGAAGAAAGGTATAAATAATTATGGGCCCCACTTGTCATTGAATCATCAAATAATTTGGACTCTTTAAAATTTCCCCTCCCCTCCCCTCCATTTCTCTCATACCAAACATAGGGTAAGAAGCTTTGGATCCACACACTTCATGAGTGGAACCATGTCCAAACATAATGAATTCATTTATATCTATCACAACATCTTGATCCTTCCAACCATAATTCAGTGCCTCATAATCATTAATTCAGGACATATATCTGAATCCAAAAACAAACATACCCGTATGGCATGGCTAAGAAGCCATTTAGAATATTGATTATCTGATGCAGAAAATGCCATGGAAGAAGCAGCAAGAGCAGCAGCAATTTCTGCAGAAAGCTCAGAACCAGGCTTGTTTGGAGTAAGAACATAAGTGTTTCTGGGAGTGTCCATGTCTTCTGGTCTCTCCCAACAATCATGATCGCCATAAGGTTCTCCAACTTGAGCAACAATAAGATTATTAGGGTTTCTTGTGGCTTTCAAGAAGTAGTCACTTCCCCATCTGATCGCTTCCAAAGCATGTTCAAGATCTGAACCCATTGAGTTCCCAAATTCTAACACACCCCAAGCCAACATCGTCGTTGAGAATGCCATTGGAAAATGAAATTTTATGTTGTCACCAGCATCATAGTATCCTCCAACCATGTCAACCTGATCAATTTTGAAGCATGTTGTAAGTGACTTAATTTCAGTCACTGATTAATAATCTACAAAAACTTATTTGAATCAAACACTAACGGCTCAAGATTATATATACAAGATCGAATGTGACCTCCTATTTATGGCGGAGGTGTTCGAGGTACTTCCCCTAAGGGCGATTTGGGTAGAATAAGTCTATTTTTTTTTTCTCTTTATAATACCATAACTTTCATCATTGGTAGAGTAGGTCTATTTTGATTTATACTATGTGCTTGGTTCCAATGGACACCTCTATAAATAAAATTTGGACGTTTATATTTGATTTTTTTTTCCCAATAGCATCATACAAGATAAATATAACTTTCATATGTAGTAATTGATTTTGTTGAACATCTACTTTGTAAACGTACAAAATAAATGCTTAATTTCAATAATGACAAGAAATTTTGATTTATTGTTATCAAAGAAATATTGTGCATATTTTTCTGTTAATGTTAATATCATGCTTCTATAAGCAATAAAAATAATATTTTAATAATATATTTTTATAATAATGAAAATAATTATAACTATTAAAAAAATTAATAATATATGAACAGAATTAACAGTTGATTATAAAAATAGAATAACATATAAATATATTAAATTAAACATAAGATATAAATCAATAGAAATTTACGGAAATCATAAGAACCTCTTCATCTCCCAATAAATAACATAATATATACAATCAGGCAAAAAAAAAAAACATAGTATGTACAAAATATATTTCAATTTAGAGGAGGAGCCAATTGTGGAAATGATCTTTTGTTATCATATGTTTGGTCATTGCTTCATCTCACGACTATCTTCGATTTAGCTTCAAACAACATGGTTTGATATTCAAAATCAGTAAAATTACATCAATGACATTGTAACCTAGTAATATAAAAATTTAACGTAAATTGGAGATCACGAGTTTAATCCTACTTATCACTTGAGGTCGTTAATAACTTTTGTCTAATTAAAAAATAGTTTTAATGATTTTTATCCAAAGATCAACATGCACTTAATATAATATATAATATCCCATATTTAATACCTAACAGTATAGTGTCTCATAAAGAATTGCTTCCAGTTGGAAGATATATGTGCCTAGTATAAAAAAAAAAAAAAAACTAACATGCGTGGTAACAACAAACAAAAGAAGGCAACAAAGATCTTGCCAGAATATGATTGAAATTCCATATACACTCTATTTAATTCTAGATATAAGAGATTAATAACTTATTTATGGAAATTAAGATTAGTTTTCGGTTACGATATCCTTTTAATCATATGCAACAAAAACTACTCCCATATAAAAATTCAAACCTACAATCAATAAAGATATTTTGAGAAAAAATTATAAAATTTGAAAACAATTCATCTAGTGTCAAAACAAACCTCTCAATTAGTTCTTACCACGAAACGGGGTTTTGTAAATCTAAAAATAATGGTTTGCCAGAGAGGGAGAGGGAGAGGGAGAGGGATTGGGGGGGGGGGGAGAGATTTACATGAGCATCCGAGCCATCGTTAAGAGCAGAATCTTTTCGCCATGTCAAACGTTGAGAAGGTGGCAATTTTCCTGACCTTTGGCCTTCAAAGAACAAAATACTCTTCGTTAATGCATCTCCATAATTCCCTGAATCTGCTCTTACCATCACCATCAACTTCGTCCTCATCACCAGTAGTATTGATAATAATAACTTCCATAAAGCCATACTTGAAAGCTTTGAAGTCTTCTGCAGAAAATACTGGTTTTGATTGAGGAGAAGCAGCACCAAGTTTTTTTCCTGATGAAACTAAATACTAGCTCCTACTGGCTCATCATCAGTGTATTAAATAGCTCCGTTTTTTCAGCTTTCGTTCTGCAAATTTAATGCTGCTGATAAGGAAAATTTGGTCTGATTATATTAAAATAATAAATTTTACCTTTACATACATAACACTACATTCCATTGGTGTTTGAGCCATAATTACTCTGGATTTTTAGTCCTCCATGATTTTCCTTTGATGAGAAAGTTAATTAATGCATTGCATAAATTATGGACATTAATTCATTAAAAAAATTTATTTTGCATTCAAACATTTTACCTCTAGAGTATTTCAGTTTTTTGGACAGCCATCGAGGAATCCAGGCCTTTGTTAGGAATTAATGGGGAGTACATTCCATGCTTATAGCAAAAATGAATATGAAGTGCTTGTCTTAACCTAAATCATTCAGATTGATTTTGAATGTTCTAGATTCAATTTAAATTTTTTTATGTTTAAACAATTTTTATTTTAAAAGGTATAGAATTTAAAATAAAAATAATTTTATTTATAACTGACATTTTGCAAAAGAAAATTACCACTAAAAAATCGTAAATTAAAAATTTTAAATTCAAAATGTCCAACTCAAATTTTCTGGATAATCCAAATTTAATCATGGTGATGAGTACAAAATGAGAATCCGAATTAATTTGAATTATAAAATGACTGAAATAGAGCTCTTTTTTTTTGGGGGGGGGGGTCCTGGAGGCTCATGCAATAAAAGAGTTTACAAGAAATTTATTTTTACATAATTTCATTATGGGAAAGTTAATTAATACCTTCGAAAAATAACTGCTATAGATTTTTTACCCCAAAATTTATTTATGATTTCAGATGCACATTTGAAAAAAGTTTATGAATATATTTGCATCTTAACCTTTAAAATTATCTATGTATTTCAATCTAAAATGGTTAGGTGTGTAGTAAACATAAATTAATTTTTTTCCCCGTGACTCGTCACACACCATAATACTGGTTCAACTCATAATTAGTATTTCATGCTTGAGAAAATTTTAAAAGAGGTGTTTCATGTCATTGAGATTACAAGTCTACCAAATATGAGTCCAAAAAAAAAAAAAAAAAGTCTACCAAGTAAAACAAATTCATGAGGGTCTCACAAATTTTTTTTTTTAAAAACACAGCTAACGAGGTTTTAAAGTTTTGTTTTTAAATCAATAAAACATGTTAGAAGTAAATTATAAAAACCAGGTCAAGTTATGATAGATACGTGTGTATCAATAATTTTTGTGTGTGTAATTTCAGGCGGAATTCTTTGTTTGGACTGAAATTTCAAGAGGAATTTCTCTTGTAAAAATTTGCGGCTTCTCTTGAATATTTTACAATTTACAAATTATAGCCTCCTTCGAAGGTGTTTTTTTTTTTGTTTTTTTTTGGGTACAATCGAAGTTGCAAAACCGTATGTTGAGGAATCTTCCTAGGTCCTGCAGTGGTGCAATCATAATCGAGGATGTTGCTCAATTACCTTGGCCATAAATCACAATTCTGACTTATGCTCAAATTTGTTCTGCCTCCTTACAGATTCTCAAATCCTCGTTTCATTGTCGTGATTGCTACCGCGGCAACTGGGAACAACCGCCGGCTGCCAGATCTCCGGTCACTGGCGAACGGCGCATCCCCCAGTTTAGCACATCGATTTGGGTTCCGGTAAAGAAGAACAGGTTTGTCTGTCACTCTTTCTTGCTTCTCTTCGTGTTTGTTTGTTTGATCGTCCTTGTCGTCTCTATTTGCTTGTACTTTTTATTAGCTTGATCTCTTCGTGTCTTGTCTACTGCGTAGGCTTTGTTGCCCTCAAAGTTGAGGATTTTTGTGGTTGTCACTCCTTTCGTATTGATCGGTTGTTTATAATGTCATCAATCTGTTAAGAAAATTTTTCTCCGTGTTCTACTTTTCAAATCAGCGTTTTGATATCCTCTTGTGCATTGGCGGGGATGCCTCATTCGTAAAATGTCCCCATTCCCTTTCTTCACCTTAATCTAATGCAAGTTCTTTATATTCTAGGCTATTGACTGAGCTTTTAGAAAAATAATAAAACAAACAGCAGAGGAGGAGAGATAGGGGAAGATGCAGCAGAGAAATTCGACAATCGGAAGGCCTTCTGGGACAGATGGCTCAGATTACTCATACCGCATGGTTGTTGATTCACGTAAGCTTCAATTTTGAGTTGTTCCTGGCTTATCAAATTTTTCCTTGTTATTTTGATTAATTATATTTTCTTGATTTTCCTGGAGCGTAGATTGCTGAGCTAAATATTTTTGTGTCTTACTAATCTTTTTGGTGTTGATCATCTTACATTTAGGGTATCAGCTGGTAGCAAGGGGGAAGAAACGCCTTTCTGTACTTCTACCTCTTCAGGTACCTCAGATTTCTCATAATTTCTGCTCTTCATGCTTTTTCATGTTATTCTAGGATTTGTTAGGTTTCTCTAAATTCTTGCTCCTCATGTTTTTTTGAACATTATTCTTGGATTTCTATGCCAATAGGCAATTGATGTTCTTTGTTTTTCCGTTGCATCTGTTGAGGATTCTTGATCGGATATTATAAGTTTTAGTGAAAAAAGGTGATGTGCCACTATTGTATGATCCTGTTGCAGGGAAATAGTCTAACTCTTTGAAAACTGTGAAAAAAAGGTTCCACTCTGTCTGCTTATCAATTGCTGTATGATATTGGCATTAATCTGATTCCAATTATAATGTAGTAAAAAGTATAACTTAAAATGTTCAACTTGATCAGACAGTCTTGTAGTTTAGCTCTCCCTGGTGTTACACTTTGCACACAAGGTTCGGAATTTTCTACCTTACATTCTTACTCATTGTGCCTATGGATATTTGTCACAGCATGATAATTCTTAATTAACATATCTACTTCCAAATTGTAATAGGATGATGTGATAAATGTCACATTGGTATGACAAATTTGGCAATGGCACATTAGAATTTTTGAAGCTTGGTTCTTTGCCCATAGTCCCATACAACTTCATTTCTTCAAAAGAGACTTTACTCTTGGGTTGGGAAATAGTTGATGCATCTGGTAGTACTTCTATGGAAGTAAGGGTTCTTTTAGGTTAGTAATAATCTGCTATGGAAATTGTAATAAAGGAATAACAGAAATAACAGAATGGGTAGGTAGTTAAAAGTCTTATTGCCTATAAATAGATGTTAAGTACCCCATTTGTAAGATATATTATGAATGATATGATTAGTGTGATGCTCCGCTTCTCTTCTCTCTCCTCTTCTATATTTCTCTGTTTCTCTCTGTTATTCTTTCTGCCTTATTTCTCTTTCCCTTCCTCTTTCTCCCTCTCTTTCTTATTCCAATACCATAACATAATCTGTATTCATCTGAGGGAATTGAGTCTTTGCATTGGGCATGGACCTGAAAAGATCATGACAAACCGCTTGCATTGTGACTTGGTCTTTTAGTGTCATATCTTTGACAAGCAACTTTGTTGTTCTGATTCAATTTGACTCATTAAATTAGTCGCTTCAGTGATTTTTCTTTTAATATAGCATGCACTTAAATCTCCAGTGAGTTTTACTTTTATTCTCTTCATTATTATCAGCACAAAAACTTTACTAAATTCCCCCCACAGACTCATCAGCAGCAACATAATAATTATGGTTCCCGTTGCTTCTTGTATAGACAGTTTTCAATTTGATTGTTGCAATTATTTAACTACAATGAGTGTATATTTTTTTGTCAACATTGAAATAGTCTTCTTTGATTATTGCCACAGTGTCATGAGTCCTCATACTGGTTTGATTAATCATGTGAACTGATAGCCCCTATTGCTCTATTCCTTTGAGACTATGAAATGGACATAGGGCTTCCATTCCTTTATTAAGGATGTTTGGTTGGCTCCATATATATAAAATTAGCTCTCCCAAGAAACCAAGATTACAACTCATGAGGTGAATCAGGATTCCCAAGTGCCAAAGTGGTTGTCTGGTCCCTCAGAAAAGTCCAGTTGACTCCATCCTTTTCCTCCTGCTCATTCAAGGACCGGTTCTTCATGCTAGATCTGCGTATTCTTTTTTTCTTCAACCCCCCCCCCCCAAACAAAAAATTCATCTTCATCATCCAAAACATCCAGATCTGTTACAATGGAGGGAAAGAATGATGTCATTGATGTTTGTTTTGCTTGAGCATCTGCTGTCATTGTCGTCTCTGAACCAGCACTTGCAGTTGTTGACGCCTTGTTGTTTTCAGATCTGGCTTTGCTTGAGCTTTCATTTTCAAATCTGTTACTGCAACTGTGTTGTTTTTTTCCCCCAAATTCAGATTTGGATTTTTATTTTGATGTGGAAATCTAGCATTTGATTTTGATGATGAAACTCTGGCATTTAGTTATGGAAATGTGGATTGGATTTTGATTTTGATTTTGCCATTTGATGAGGGAGGAAAAGAGTGAAGGCGGAGTGGAGTGCATGGGAAATAGTTGAATGAGGGTATTTTGGTCTTTTTATTTTTTTAAAACTAAATATAAGAAATAAATTTCCATCATTCTAAGTATTCATGCCAAACAGATATACAGTGATCAGCATAATATTTTATTCCATTCTCTACCATTTATTACCATTATAAGCACCAAATGGGCTCTTGGGGATTCGGTTCTTCCCTAATTCTGTCCTCTGTCTAGTTGCGGCGAGATGTTGAAGCCATGTTATGTGTTTCTTGCAGCTTCTATACTTTTGCATCCCTTTATTTTGTGGTTCCTAGGTTCTGTGTCTTGCGTTGCTATATGCTAATCCATCAAACCTGTGAACGTGGTAGGATCTTGTCATTTTATTACTATCAGTTTAATGGAATCAGCACATTTCTTTGAGCCATTTTATCCTGGTTCCATCATAATATATTCAGGCCGTGGGATGCTATAAACTTCAAATTATGTAATTATGTTCAACCTTGCAGTTCGTTCTCTTGTCCAACCTTTTGGAGGCAGATTAGCTCAAACCTTAAGATTGACATTTCTTGACAGCTTTTTATTGTGGGGAGAGCAGTCTCTTTACATCTTTTTCCAATTTTCATGATTAAAAGGCAAGTTTCTAAGTTCAGCCATGTTTTACTTTCAACATCGGAAGGCAAAATATGGCAGATTATAAATATAAGGGTTGCATTGTTCTACGGGTTTTTGATCCGAAGGTTTCTGTAGTTTTTTAATTTCTTTTCTTTTGTGAGAAGTGAGGTTGGTCTGGATCTGTATCTTGTGCATAAAATATTGTGTAATTATATTTGATCTGTTTCTGGTCTTAATTTTGTCAAATCTGTATTTTATCAAAAGGAGAGTATTTGATGAGTATTAACATCTCTAGAATGTGCTTATCTCATTGGCAGGAATTCCTGCTGTTTAATTTAGCTGCTAATTTCTATCTGTATGCTTCAAACTTCGATAAGATATGTACATGAAACTAAGCAGTCACTAAATTATTGTTAGTTGCTTAATTGCCAAGTGTAGCACCGAGGGCTCTAAAATGCTGCATATCATAGGGGTATGTGGGTGATGTTTCATGAAATGTGCACAACCCATAAAAGTTCATTAGTAATCATAATGATTGTTACACGTGCTCTCTCTGTGCGCATAACCAAACTTTCATTAAAAACAGAATTCATGAAGACCACTGTAATCTTCCATAAAATACATAATCACAAATCGTAAAAATCAAAAGGTTGAGTCGTAGCTTTACTTTAAGATATCACAGTGATCATCACTAGGGAATCCCTCAATTTCCTCTGTATCATTTGGAAGGTCGCGGTGGTACTGCTGGAAGATTTTAGTCGAGGTAGTAAGGGTAGAGAGTGGGGCATGAGCTGGTGTTCTTGAAGCACATATCGCCCGTGGCTTTGGTTAATTATGGTTGTGTGGCAGTGGGGAGGAGAAGGGTGAGGGAGAAGAATAGAGGAAAAAACATGTCTTCCCTGATTTTGTTGGCTCCTGTGTTGGCAATTGCAACCAAAAAGCTTTTGGAATCATTTGATCGGGGTTGCATCCCTATTTAGTTGTATGCATAGTGCACACTGCAGCTAAATAAATGTAGTAGTTGTACTGTGGCCATAACTATACAACAACAACAATAAAGCCTTATCCCACTAGGTAGGGTCGGCTATATGAATTACACAACGCTATTATTGTTTTGTTAACAACCCAATCCTTAGATATGTTATTGACCAGAAGGTCTTGTTTAGTTATCTTATTGAGTGTTCTTCTTGGTTTTCCTTTGTCTTTTTTTATGGGACTCTATACTGTTTGATCTGTCCTCCTTATCAGGGCCTCCAAAGGCCTTCTCCGTATATGTTCAAACCATCTTAAGCGATGTTCGACCATTTTCTCTTGGATAGGCACCACATCAATTCTTGCTCTGATATTTTGATTTCGAATCTTATCTTTTCTTATATGATCATTCATCCATCTCAACATCCTCATTTCTGCTACCCTAACTTTGTGCTCTTATTTTCTTTTTATTGCCCAACATTCACTACTGTACAATATAGCTTGTTTTATAGTAGTTTGATAAAAATTTTCCTTAAGCTTCTCAGATCCCTTATTGCAAATAACTTCAGTAGCATTTCTTCATTTTAACTAATCAGCTTAGATTCTATGAGAAAAGTCTTCATTAATTTCACCATCCTCATGTATACCGAATCCTAGGTATTTAAACTTTGATACTTGAAGAATGATTTGATCTCCATCTTCACCTCCAAATCACCATTGCCTTGCCTCCTCCCAAAATTGCAAAGCATATATTTTATTTTGTTTCTGGTCAAGTGAGAACTTTTCGACTCCAAAGTCCTTTTTCATAACTTCGATTTAGAGTTAATCTCTTCTTTTTATTTCGTCATGAGGACTATGTCATCCGTAAAAAACATGTACTTAGAGATTTTTTCTTGAATAAGCTCAATTAGAACGTCCAAAATAATATTAAACAAGCAAGGACTTATAGAGAATCCTTGATGTGGGCCAATCTTAATGGGGAATGGGGAAGTCTTTTGTTTTACCTCTAGGCGTTCTTGCACTAGTAGTTACTCCTTCATACATATCTTGTATAGCTTTGATATAAGCAACCGCACACCTTTCTTTTCTAAAACCTTTCAAAGTACTTCTCTTGGCACATGATCACAAGTTTTCTCCAAATCAATAAAGACCATATGTAAACCCTTTCTTTTTCTTCTATATCTTTCCATTAACTCTTTTAGTAAATAAATTGCTTTAGTTGTAGATCTTCTTGGCATAAATCTAAATTGGTTCTCCAAAATAGTAGTCTCTAACCTGAATCTATGTTCAATCACCTTTTCTCACAATTTCATTGTATGACTCATAAGTTTTATCTTTTTGTAGCTTGCACAATTTTGAATAACTTCTTTATTCTTATAAATAGGAACTAAAATGCTTTTCCTCCATTCATCTGGCATATTCTTGGAGTGTGAAATTTTATTAAAAAACTTGGTTAGCCATAATTCATCTTTCTTGCTTGAATATTTTCAAATTTCAATAGGAAAACCATCAGGCTCAACAGCTTTATCATTATCCATTTTCTCAAGAGCTGCCTTATCCTCTCCTATGCGGGTCCTACTATAAAAAGCCAAATTCCAATAATCTTTGTTAATTAGCAAGTCTTGTAAGTTCTTAGTCACACATTCGCTTCCCTCATTAACAACTTGTAAAAGTAAGCATCCCATTTGTCTTTCATATCACCATCAGTAACTAGAACTTTATCATCTTCATTCTTTATACACTTCACCTAGTCCAGATCTCTCTTTTTCCTCTCTTTTTGCTTCGTAATCTTGTAAATATTTTTTTTCCCCGCCTTTGTTCCTAACTCCTTATAAAACTCCTCATAAGCTTTAGTACGTGCTCTGCTTACTGCTCTCTTCATCTCTTTTTTAACCAAACGATATTTTTTTCCAGTTTTTTTGCACTATTGTACAAAAGGTATGGTCTTAAAATAATCTCTTTTCTGTTTGACTTTCTCTTGCATACTCTTGTCCCACCATCAAGTCTCCGTATGTCTCTGACCATGACCTCTGGATTCTCCCAAAATTGTTTTAGCAAGCATACAATGTCTCATTGTCATCTCTTCTTACATGATGTTTGCATTTCCTTGCAACTCCCAGATCTCTTCCTCCAAAAAGGTCTTTTTGAAAAAGTCTCGCTTCTCACCCTTTGACTGCCACTACTGACCCTGGGGTTTACTACTTGGTGAGACTTTTGTTTGATACTCTTAAAATGCACATCAAGGATAAGTACTTTATGGTGGGCAGTCATCCCATCCCCAGAAATCATTTTGCAATTAGTACACAGTTTTCTGTCTAGGTTCTTAACCAAAAAGAAATTAATTTGTGATTTTGAGGCTCCACTCTTGTACGTGATTAAATGTTCTTCTCGCTTCTTAAAACAAGTGTTGACAATCGTAAGATTGTATACAAAAGAAAAGTCAAGAATAGATTGTTTTTTGTTAAGCTCCCCAAAAACCAAAACCACCATGAGTCTCAACAAATTGTCCTGTTTCCTTGCCGACGTGTCCATTAAGATCTCCACCAATAAAATTTTTTTCTTTAAGTGGTATGCTTTGAACCAATCCCTTCATATCTTTCCAAAACTTATCTTTAAGGTGTGCCTCTCTCCCAACCTGAGGTGCATAGGCGCTAATGATATTGATAGTATTATTTTCAACAGTTACTTTTAAAGATATTATTTTGTCCTCAAACCTTTTAACTTCCACCACATTCTTTTTCCGTGTTCCATAAACGATGATATCAACACCATTCCTTGCACTCACCTTCCCTGTGTACCAAAATTTATATTCTCCAAATTCTATGTAAACTTCTCTAGCCCATTTTGGTTTCTTGGAGGCACAAGATGTTAATTCCTTCTGTCCCTTATAACTCCTATATTTCCATAGATTTCATTCAAAGTTCCAATATTCCAAGTGTTGAATCTAATCTTGCTCTCATGAACTAATTTCTTTAGCCACCTCCGTCCAAAAGACTATGGTAGCCCGCTCATTTAACACTACATCCGGATGATGCAGTGGCTCTCGCTCACTTCTCATTATACTCAAGCTGTACAGCACGTTATCTAGGCAACAACCTAACAGTAGCATAATTACTTTGTTGATCCATGTTCATGAGATTTGACGGACTTTTAATGGCTATCGATGGCCTAACACAACTCTCCTCTTTTACCCGGGCTTGGGACTGACTATACTAAATAGGGGGAGTTTGTGGCTATAACTATAATACACCAAATTTGCAAGGCTGTACAATACATGTAGGAGGGTGATAGCATGATACATTGTGCTGAACTTCAAATTAAAGCATGCTATTACTGGTGACTTGTAAAAATTATCAGACATGTGTTATAGTGGAATTCTAATGTGTGAGCGGGGAATTTCTAACCAAGATGACATATAATTTGTTGATGTGGCCGCCAAATTTTAATTCCTTTTTATTTTTGTTGTTCATAGACAATTAAACTCTATTATTAGTGAGCCCTAGATCCCTTATGAAGCTTAATGGTACCAATATTTATTTTACTTGTCATGGCTGTCACCAGTTCTTCTTATATGATTTGATTTTTGAATGTGCTCTGCAGGCTTTGTTTCTATAATGGCAGCGATATTTGCAGTCTTACGGGAACAAAAGAGGATGCTCTGAATGAAGTTGCTGTTGGTTCAGCTGTTTGCGGTCTCATTACTCTGATCATTGCCGAATTCGGTTGTTAAAACCACTGTCTACAACATTACATTTTGTTTTACTGGTATTTTAATTTGAAAATAAACTTCTTTGTCTTTTTATTGTAAAGGTCGAAGGCGAAGCAGGGCCAGCTTCTTGGGAATTTATCCTGTTACGTCATCTATAATAATGCTTCTGGCTGTGATTCTTGCTAGGCGCCATTCTCTATGAAGGTAATGCATAATGCGTTTGCACTAAATTTCCACAGAGAATCAATGAAAGAAGAAGACTAAAACAAAGTATGAAACTTCATATACTTTTTTTTTTTTTTTTTGGTTTTTGGGGGGGGGGGGTGTGACAAGATATGATAAGGAGTTAAATTCTAATGAACAAGTTGACAAATTACGATAGATGCTCCGTATTATGAGAATGGGCATGGCCAAGCTCATTGGCCAATCTAGAACTATAATCTCTTATGGTTTGATTCTTCTTTACTCTGTCCAGCTCACGGTTTTGATAACCCTCCGAAAGGAAAATTATCAGTATGAGAAGAACCTAAAGCTTGCTAGAGGAAAGGAAATCCTCAGACCTACAGAGGGGGGGGGGGAAGGTGATCACAGAAGATAGTAACAAGAGGCTAATATATATATATATATTATATATATATGAAGTGGCGAGATTACATCTTAAAGACACACACAGCTCATCAAATCAATCTGCCCTTAACCGAGTATAGCACTATGGGGGCGAGGAGTCTAATATTTTGAAACAGCTTTCCAGTCACTTTGCTTATCAGATAGGGTATTCTCCTTCGAAGTAGGACCATATTTTAAGGACCAAAGAGAAGCCATGTAC